GATCTGAGAATTGTTAATATTTGCTAATTTAACATGGGTGAAATATTCACCAGAAACAAAGCATTTAAATATTGATTTAATTTTATTCTTATTAATATTTCACTATAACTTAAACGTTACATTACTTTACTGTAATATTAATAAATAAATAGAGTATTAAGTGATAATATACTGTAAGATACATTACGAAAGATTCATAAAAAGATAAAATGTTTGCTTTACTTGAGATCTCCTTAACGTTTGTATTGATAAGGAAATAATTTACTTAATTATAAATATCGTTGAAATATCGCATAAAACTTATTTCATTTGATAAACAATTCTCAGAAATTTTTATCAGTTTTATTCATCAAGTTTTCATGCAATGGGAGGTTATTGTTCATTTAGAAAGTAATCCATTGTTGACATTTAGACCATGAGTTAAAGTTTTTGGTGATGAGACATAATTGAGCAAAATTGATATTAATTGAACCTGAGTGAAAGCACCTAAATATTAGATATAGAGGTTAATCAGTATTATTCGACTAATTAATGGCTTTAACTGAAGATTTGAGTGCCGGTGCTAAATGATAAATTACAGTAGCAACAACTTATGTAACACTTATATATATTATTGACACTTTGTAATAATGTCTATTTTAAAGTCAGCAGGGTCTTATCTAACTCCTAATCCCATTCCAAGTTTCAATGGAATATAATAGGGTTGTGAGTGAGATGTGGACAGTGGTTGAGAGGACTGTTGGCCTGAGGCCTGTTGTTTGGGTTTTCGTTTGCGGGTTTGGATGGAGTCCTTCTTCATAGTGATCGGACGGTTAACGCTATGGAGTTTGTAGTATAAGCCACAGGCGTTGCACACCGGCTCTCCTAAACTATTTCGCCGCCATAAGGATGTGTTAGTCGTCGAACAGTTGGAACACGAAAGGCCTGAACGTCTTGATTGTGTCTATTAGACAGACATTCAGTCAGAATATGAGTGCAATTCAAGTGTTGATGTGTTGAACAGAATAGTGAATCAACTATTCAATAGTCACTTAGCGTTATATACCATAGAATTTGTTTATGTAATAAATATCTTATATAATAAATGTCTTACTGTTAGCCGCCTTTGATTCTTAACAAGTGGTCGATTGTTTCCATTCATTTTGTGGTAAAGTCCACATG